AGAATTTTAAAAGAAGATTTTATTCAAAAACACTTTCAATAACTACTATACAGCAGAATACACATATAGAATAACACAGGAGTTATTTGAATGCATCTCATGTAGCTTCACCTTTAAGACAATTATTGATTTTGGAAAAGTCAAATTTTGATCCCGGATTTTGTATTAAATTATCACGTAATTATCACGTGATTCCCCCTACCCTTAAATGAAAAAAAACAAGAAAAACATGGCGGGGGCTTTATTAATTGGTCATATAATTTCCAAAATTATACAATATGTGCATTTTTAACTTTTCTACAAGCTTATCCAAGATCAAGCAATGCCAGAGATGCTATTTAACCAATATATAGCATATTTTAATAATGATTTTATTCCTTCATTTAATCTTTAAAAATAGAATTTAAAATAATATCATTGGAAATATAATTCTGTTAAATAATAAATAAAGGATACATAAATTTCCAATCCATATAATAAAAATGAATAATAATTATAATAGTTCTAATATATTGAAATCAATAGCCACCATTGTAAATAATACAAAATAATTTATTTGGAGTTTTATGCTTACATTTCCATACCGAACTACTTTAGTGCTCCATGCTGCAATCCAACAAAGTAGTTGCTAGGTGTTGCAACCATTTTTATATGATGTAAAGGTGGTCAAAACCATCATCAAAGTTGCAGTCGGTATCCTTAAACTACATGTACCTTTAAATAAATAAAGCCTAGATAAAAATATATTATTATGAATAAATATAGTAATGGTGATTCTGAATATACTTAATAATAAGATTTGCATCAACATGGCATCAGCTGGCTTTCTTCATACAAACATAATGGTCCAACATTTATGTTACTAACTGTTAAAAATTAAAAAAAAAGGATTTAAGCCAATAATTCTCCTATGTATTAAAAAAAAACTAGTGTGTAAAGTTGCATGGATCCTGGTGGATTCTTAAAATATATATTCAGAATAATTTATTTTGATTATTATTATTAGAATTTTTTTTAAAAAAAATTTATTTTCACAAAGCACAACATGTCATGTTAAATTGTTTGTATGTAACATATATGAATTGATCAACCAAGGAGTTCCGATTTTTCTAGATTCGATTTCCAAATTTGGTAAAATACTTGACTGTAATATGTTTGTTAAAGTTGCGAATGAATGAGAGGATTTATTGGGCAAAAATGGTAAAAAATCGTCAGTTGACAATAATAAGGCACGATGTTTTGTATTACAAACTTTATTCTTTTTATGTATGTACAAAGTAAATCTCATAGATTATTGTATCAAAATATTAAAGGGCTTGGAATGTTTCTTGAAAATGTTTATATGTAGGAAGCTGAGATTTCAAGAAGTTCATAACATATAAAAATTTGGAATTTTTTAATTTTCAGCCAACACTATCAAGTATTCTGGCCAGAGCTATACATTTTTTTTATCGGTTTATTAACAAAAAAACTTTTATTTTACCAAATGAACCACATGTTGTTATAAGTCAAGTCAATAAATAACTGTAAAAGAATTTTAAAGTAATATTCAACGATCTTGAAAGAATGCTAAGGCTGTTCTTTATACTTTTTGTGTATACATGAGAATTAACATCTGAGGATGGTGAGATTTGGGAATTTTCTTATTTTATTAATAACAACTATCCCCAAGATTTTATATGAAATTGATTGACATGTCTCTCATTAATAGACGGATCGTCAATTAATAAAAAAAGGAAATAAATAAGAAAATATTCTATGAAAAAAAAGTTGTTACACGAAATTTACTTGGTCTCAATTTCTTAAATGTATAACAAAATTCGGAATTTTCAAAATGCTAAGGATCAGTCAATTTTCAGTTTAAGAAAAAACCAGCCGATAAGTTTTGAAGCTTGAGTCATGAACAATAAAACTTATCGGTTAAATTTTTTAAAATGATATAATTATTTTTTGTTTTAGTTGACCAATTGTTACTATAAGCAATTAATGATTATAGATGATCTGCACCGTATAACGGCCTTTTTTTGTCAAATCAGGCGGGACGTTATAGAGAGTGAACTGTATAATACATAAATGAACAGACAAATGTAGTTAGACAAAAGGTATACTAAATTTAGCATTAGTATTATTAGTATAGAGATTATGATGAAAGGTATTTAAATAAACATATCGAAGAACATTTACACGAAAATCTTTCTTTATATTCGCCATTTTCTTGATTTTGGTTTCACTGCCGCTCGTTTAATAAGTATGAATATGATCAACTAGCCAAATACGTAAATTAATTAATGTTAGTTTGTGGTGCTAAGCGAGGAAACATCGATACATTCAAAGGGTGGCATAGGTTAACTCTATATATCTTAATGTTATTTGAGGGAGGGAGGAGATATTTAAAATAAAAAGAAAGAAAGCAGCACTTTATCTTCTTTGATTTTATCTTCTCGTACTTGTAATAGTCATCGTTAACATAATAATAATTGTTTTTTTTTTTTACCGCCCAAGTTTATTTAGAAAGATCATGTGCTTTGATGATCTTATTTAATAAACAAATAATTGTCAATAACCGAATCTGGTAATAATAATAAATGGTAGTTATTGCGGAGCATGCAATAATGGAAAAATCAGAATGAGATGACATTCTTTTATTGGCTTGTGGCACTAGTGTGCCACAAGCCGATGATTAAATTCATTCTGTCAATTTATTGATGTGATTATTGCATGACGATGCATGCAATAGTTTTTTTTTTTTAATAAATTGACTTCTTTATGATTTTAAAAATTTAAATGACAGAATCCTTTGTACCATCATTAGAACAAACTAAAAGAAATTCAATCTTCAGGCATTCCGGAAACCACAAAAAAAACACTACTTTCTGGGTGAACGTTTTACATAAATACAGATCAAATCATGAATTTACAACTCCAATAGAAGAAATTCGAAACAAAGATCAACTTGAAAAAGAACTTTGCCAGTTTGTATATTAATAATGATAAACTTATTGATAATCCCAATTCAAATTGTAGCAAAAGGATTGGAGTAAGTATTTTGTTAGTATTATTATTATTAATGCATTATACCACAAACACACAAAATGCTCACACTGTTCCATATTTTGTCACGTTATTATTAAAATTATTTGTTTTTAGGGTATCAATAAGATTGATAAACATTATTTGAATAAATCATTCAAAAGACCCAAATTACTTGATTCTACTAATAATTATGATAGCAGAAAACAAACTGTAATTAAGAAATATAAATATAAAAAATGTAACTTTACTATAAATAATAGCAATAATTAATATTTTTAATTATTAATAAATATATTAATATTTGCTTTATCTATTAATTACTAAACTAAAAATTTATTGTTATTATTACTATTAAAAAAATTTTTTTTCCACAGACATGCCATAATTTCCACAGGTATGCCATAACTTCCATACTCTGAGTTTAAAAATGCAATAATTGAAATTGCGGAATGCCAATTTTCATTGGCAGACATACAATAAATTATTTTAAACTTTAAAATCAATTTTTATAACCTTAGCAAAAGAAAAGTTATGTGTAACTTTGGAGATCTTATTTTCTAACAAATGTGCACTATTACTATGCAATTACACTTCCCGTGACCGATAAATATAAATATAAATCACAATCCAAGAATTCAGGGTGTGAAATGTAACCTTATTTTTGCTGTATTATCGGACATTCGGAATTTTCGGCACATTAATATGAAAACCCTTATATCGGGGTATAATGAACATTCTCTTTATTTTTTTATTTAACGATTATATTCAACTAAAAAAAGCATTCTCCTTTATTTTATTTTATTACAAATAAAAGATGGTAATTGTAATAGGTATGCCTGCAGCGCCATATAGTAACACATTAAGGTTATCATCTCCAAAATCGGGGTTTATATTCATAAATAAATAAAATAAATACAAATCCTAGATTTAAATGGGGGAAGAATTTTAAATATTTTAAAAAAAAAAATCCATTTATTTTTTAAACATTTTTATTCTTCTGCTACATTTTTAAAATTAATCATGTTTAAGAAAAAATCAACAAATAATACCAATAATAATAATAATCCACAAAGAACAAAATCTCCAACTGGAAATAAATATAATAATGCTAATAATATAACTTCGCCACGCTTTTATGAAATGCTCGACTATGTCGCATCAAGAATGAATGGCAACTATCATCATTATTATAATAATAATCATTATAACAATCTTCAAATGAAATTATAATTGATTGATTGTTTTTTATATGTATTTCTACAGTTCCTTTGGAATTTGGTACATTTATGAAAAAACGTTTTAATAAAGATGATATTTCCTCACCAAAAGACTTTGAGTAAGTATTCTAGTTTAAATTTCACTATTACCACTACCACCATTATCATTATATTATCATTGGCATAAATAAATTCAGAAACTTTAATTTAATCCTTAATTCGAAAACATAAATTATAGGCATCTGATACATACTGAAAGTGAAGAACAAGCCCAAGAGTTTTTAGTTTATTGGAATGAAAATCCAAACAATAGCAAATTACCAGGTAGCAATCAGTCAATTAATACATACATATATTAAACGCATGTTAATTTAATAATTACTTACATAAATACATATATATACATGCACGCACTTACACTCATCTACATATTCATAGATGCTACGGTACAATTTAAAACTTTATCCAAAATTTCAAAAGGTTTTGATGTCGAAAAAAACTGTACTGGAACTGTTATAATTAAAAATAACACAAGCAATGTACATAAAGAAGAATTTTCTCATCAGGAAATAGTTCCATCTTTGATTACCATAGAGAAATCTGTAGCGACCAAAGTTTATTTTGAAAATTACTTTTATAATATCCTCAAAAAACCTCCAGGACGTGTAAAACGTCGTTTACAACTTGAAGCAGATTTGGAAAAAATGGTAATATCTGATAAAGAAAAACTGGAAATCAGACAAGATTGGCTTAACCTCGAGTCGGAGTATATGCGACTTTTGAGAAAAAAGATTACCATAAACTCTTTTATCATTATTAAGACAATTGGTCATGGTGCATTTGGAGTCGTGAAACTTGTAAAAGAAAGAGGCACTGGAATGTTGTATGCAATGAAAATCATGAGAAAAGCTGATATGCTGAAGAAAGGTCAAGAAGGTCATATTCGTGCCGAACGAGATCTTTTGACTGCAGCAGCAGAGTCTGCTCATTGGATAGTAAAGTTGATTTATTCTTTTCAAGATTCAGATCACTTGTATCTTGTGATGGAGTATATGCCTGGCGGTGACTTGCTTAATCTTCTAATTGAAATGGAAATATTCAAAGAAAATTTTGCAAAATATTATATCTCTGAAATGATATTATGTATTGAAGAGGCACATAAAATGGGTTATATTCATCGTGATATTAAGGTAATTATTAATTTACTCTTTGTCATGTATAAAAAAAATTTTGTTTTGGATTATAATACTAATTATACTATCATTACTATTATTATTACGTCTTGCAATAATATAGCCTGATAACTTTTTATTTGATGGCAAAGGTCATATAAAACTTTCAGATTTTGGCCTTGCAACAGATTTTCATTGGGTACATGATTCGGCATATTATGAACAACAACGAAGAGACTTATTACATAAAACAGGAGTAGATATTGAAGCGGATACTTTTTCAAAGGCTATGAGTAAAAAAATTAGATCGTCAAAATTGATGGAACAATGGTTAGAAGAGGAAGATGCCGAGAATGGTGGTGTTCCAAAAACCAGAATTTTGAGTTGGAGAGATAAAAATCGAAAAAAATTGGCTTTTTCAATTGTAGGAACTAATAATTATATGGCACCAGAGGTTATAAGAGGCACTGGATATGATAAAAGTTGTGATTGGTAAGTTGGGCTTTTTTGTCGCTTAGAAATCTTCTAATAAATAAATAAAGTGCAAATATTTACTTGCTTATTTTGTTTGAACTAAATAATAATCAGGTGGAGTCTTGGAGTAAGTATAATTTCAGTCAAGGTAACAAAATAAGGAAGAAAAGTTTGATTGGCAGTTAGAGTTTTAGGATTAAAATTTTACCTTTCTCAATTATATAATTATAAAATCCCATCCATATTATTTTTCTTTTTCCAAAGATCCCTACTTTTATTAGGTTTCTTTTCCTGGTTTTTATTAAGTAATTTTTGAATATAGGTAGAGATGCGATCCGTGGATGGTCAATCCGGATATCCGCAAAACAATCCGGATGGACGGATGGCTTTTTTAAAGTGC